CTGGGATCTGAACCCAGGCCGCCAGCAGCGGAGCGCGTGCACCTAACTGCTAAGCCACGGGGCCGGCCCTATACTTGTTTTCTTACTTAAGGCTATTATAAGAATCCAAGTTCAAAAAGAATGAGCAATAATCTACTTTCCTTAGATTGTACTTCACCTCTTCTATTACCTGAAATCTTCAGGTAGTATACATGAGAGATTACGTATGCTGCTTCCTTTTCTGCCACCTTTAAAGTACTATTTTCTCTAATTCCTCTACGAAACCATCTTTCTGGATGATAATCCAAGTTTTATCTACCCAGAGGTGCAAGTGAGCTGGGAGGTTTGGGGGAAAGTGTTTTCCTGGGAACAGAGTGGTACCTCACAACATGAGACTTCCAGGCCCTCAGAGGTGCACTGCAATACTATGGCTTTGACCCGGACCTCACCATCTAAACTTCCCGCCCCCACTTACTAGGCACTCTTGATCATTTATTTGGCTCTTAATCACTTTCTGTTTCACAAGCATTCATCCCTACCCAAAAGTATCTCACTTATTTATTTTCTGATCCCCCGGAAGAATATAATCCCCAGAGAGCAGAGCTTTGGTGTGTCATGTTGATTCAACTCCAGCTTCCACAATAGTACCTGGCTCATACAGAATACTCGATAAATCGTACTGAACGAATTATAACTTCTCACACTACTCTAAAGACTTGGAACATCTTCTATAGACCAATAAACCAACTAGTAAAATCCTGGGGTCCTTATTTTTTTACCACTGTAGAGAAAAAGAGGAAAAACACACCTGCTCATCAACTCCTGCTAAATTAGACATGAAAAAGACAGCTAAGTGGCGGTGTTTAAGAGAAATAAACATTACTAATTTTTGAAACTACTTATGAAAACAGAAGTTCCTCTTCCCCAATATACTGAATTGCTAATCAACTTGCAGGGTGAGGATGCCTGACTCCATTAACCTACAACCCTTCAGCCATTATCTCAGCGCTGCATTCTGAACCGACAGACTCAGGAAAGGGTGATTTTTGGTGAAGAGTGTGATGATTTTTACAAAGGAGTAAGCAGGTCATATCATAAGCAAATACCAAATCCAGGGGGTAATGGTCCCCCTAACAAACAGTCTTAGGAATTTGAGCCATTCCCCTTACCCCAAAGGCCTTGGGCAATTTCAGTTTAATGACAGTATCATTCAGTCAAGCAGTGAGTGTCAGGCTAAGACAGAATCAAGTTTCATTTAAAGGGTTATGAGACCGAAGCCGGGAGGTAGAGAAAGTAGTGGTTTGCCAGTAAGGAAGAGAAGAGCCCATTTAAAATACTGTTCTTTCCTGTATTTCCTAACCTCCGCCCCACTGTCCCATACCTCACTGAAGATCGCCTTCCTTTTGCTGCAAACTACAGACAGCGATTTCTGGCACCGGGACTGCGTTACTTATCAACATGGTGGAAGACGGGATGGCGTGGTAAAAAGTGTACACAGGCTTGGGTCCTTGCGGGGTGGGGGTGACCTAAGCCAAGTTAGCCTCTCGAGGCCAAGTTTCCTCATCTGTAAATGGTCACAAAGTTACCTCCCACAGAGAATGGCTAAAAGAACCAAAGATAAGCACCAATACAGGGTGCAGCGCCTGCGTTCCGTGAATGCTGTGTTCCCCTTCCTTCCACTCGCCGGCTGCAGAGCAACATCGAGGCTGTGGCATGATTATTCGACTATCAAGGTTGTGACCGAGGATGGTGGTGGAGCAACTACCCAGCTAAGAGCGCGCATCTGGGCCGGCCCCGCGCAGCCCCGAGCCCGCCCCCCGCGGGAGGCCGAGGGAGCGCTCGCATCCACCCGCGGGCCCACAAACCCCAGCCCCGTTTCTCTCGGGCTTCCCGCTTCGAGGCGGGGAGGCCGGGCCACGCGGCGACCCCCCGGGTCTCGGGAGCGGGCGCTGGCCCCGGAAGCGGGGAGGGCCGCGCCGAGGC